CACACACACACACACACACACACACACACACACATGCACACACAGACACGCACACACACACACTCAACCAGACTCACCGAAAGCTCAAAACACAACTCCTTCGGGACATCCGTTAAAATTGGAACGATACAGAGAATAATTTAATATTATTATTATTATTATTATTATTATTATTATTATTATTATTATTATTATTATTATTATTATTATTATTATTATTTATTTCCTTTTTAATAACAAGGCTTGCAGGAAAATGGTTTTTGAAGCTTCGAGAGGGGATAATGAAAGGAGAATTTGAATGGGATCATTGGGATGGGGAGCAACTCGTATTCCGCCGACACCTGGGACGAACCAAAAGTCCGCATATTTGCTGGCCAAACCCATCCCCATCCCCATCCCCAGCTGCAGCCTGCAGCCTGCAGATCAGACACCCAACCCTGTTCGGTGCTACTGCTACAGCCCGCAGCCAACTTCACATCCAACTCTACAGCCACCTCCACAACCAGCTCCTCCGCCTAGTATATGCATTACGTTCTATCATCAGTTCCTCACTGGCCTTCTTCTACTGTTATTCTACAATAACTTTAATGCCACCTACCTTAACAAAGCACAAAGCACACAAAGCACAAAGCACAAAGCACACAAAGCACAAAGCACAAAGCACAAAGCACAAAAATTACAAAAATTACAAAAATTCCAAAAAATACTAAATCAAAGTTCTTGCGGTAACTCAAACGAAATCCACAACAACAACAAAAAAAAAGGGGGAAAAAAATCCACACTTCATTGTCTCTGAATTCACAAAAAGAAAGTATATGGAGCATAAACCAACGGTACACCGACAAATGAAAACAAACCTTCAACGCGCGAACGGAAGTGAGACGTGAAAGACAAAAAAAGAAACACACGGGAACGACGCATGGCCTGCAACAGTAGATCTGTGGTTGTCGCCCGGCCGCCCACGCGGGCGGCCTCCCCCTCCAACAGCCCTCCAGGGGTTGCATCTGCCGAGTGAAGAATTCGTTAAGAAACGCCCGTGGCCGCCCGCTCACCGCAGATCCTCCAAATCCAGCCGATCTCACCAATTTTCGACCCCTCGCCCAGCGCCCTGCGGACCATCACCCTCCCCCCACATCATGGGCAGGATAGCTTACATACATCCCCACAACGCATAGCGCACCGAAAGTGTCACGCCCACGCACGAAAATCAAGGGCACACACGCATGCCCTCACAAAAGCAAAGAGAAACAAGCAGAGGATGAGATGGCAGAAAATGGGTGCGACGCACGGGGGCAAAACGACAGATAGCTGGACAGGCACTGTCAGGCACCTCGCACATAAAAATAGAAAGAAAGGAGAGAGAGAGAGAGAGAGAGAGAGAGAGAGAGAGAGAGAGAGAGAGAGAGAGAGCTGCTTCTTGCATTCTGCGAAGTTCGGCAAGTTCTCTACTGCCTGGCAGCCATCACGCGCACTTGCCTGTTCTTCTCCATTCAATGCAGTGCCATTGTGCACGGCGCTTGCTGCCGCGATACGTGGGTTCGTCGGAACCGCAGGAACAATCGTCTCGCTTGAACACCGTCGGCACGACGGCACCCCCTCGCAGGAGGCGAGCAGAGCTGCAGAGGAGATAGGAGTGGCTCTAATGGAAGGTGCAGTTGCGGGAACACTTCCCTTTGTGCTGAACAACGGCCCTGTTGCATCTTGCTTCGCACTCATTGGTGTAGCCTATACAACAAGAGCTACAGACAGGATCGTATGGAATCCACGGAGGTTGGCAAATGCACCCAGGATATATGTGGTACCCAAACTCGAAACGTGGACGTTTATCAGGAGGTCCGAAAACGTATTTGTCTCTACAATCAAATGAAGGGCGTACCGCAACATCACCTTTCACGTGGACGAGCACCAAACACACGCCGACCGCCATCAACGCCCAGACCAATTTCCACAAACCCCCCATCATCGATTCCCCAAACGAGCCCATGGCATCTGCTTCAAAATCCCTCTCTCTCTCTCTCTCTCTCTCTCTCTCTCTCTCTCTCTCTCTCTCTCTCTCTCTCTCTCTGTGTATCTATCTATCTCGCGCGCGCGGTAGGTCGGTCGGTCGATCTTTGCCTGTAAGGAGGTTCAGGTGAACCTGTCTGCGTACGATTCGGTACGACTCCTGCAAGCGAACGGGGACACAAGACCGTTAAACTGTCGGCTATGGCGACGAGAGACCAATTGAGACCGCTCGAGACTTCAAAATTTACATCACCTTCCACGTAGCAACAACAAGCCTGTCATCTTTCAGTTGGTGTCGAGCAGATATTTATCTTCAACTCTATGTGTGTTTAAGTATGCGTCAACTTCTCTCTTCGCGCTGCTCGCAGCTTTCCCCGCACCGAGTGCTCAACGGTCTATTCTTCTCACAACTTGGCACTTGCAGGTTTTTTTTAACTTTTTGCCTTTATTGGGTGAGGCCTTCACAGATATCGGAATAATCTTCAAAATACCCCCATAACTTGAGAAATATGCCAAAATGGCCCCAAAAAAATGTGAATAGAGTGGACTGCCCCTCTACAAAAGATTTTTTTTTTTTTTGTGAAAAACACCTGGCGTAGTTTGGATCCCCATCTTTGCAACATACCCTCACTGCATAAGGTCTAAGTTTGCAAAATGCCCTGATACTCACCAACTCTTGATTTTTTTTATTTTATTTTTTTATTATTTTTTTATTTTTATTTTTTACTATTTTTTTTTTTTTTTTTTTGGGACCATTGCTCAATTTATGCGTGTCATCCTTGAGTGCGCAGGGGCATTCGTTCCGATTTTGACGGATGTCCCGAAGAACTACTCGCCAACTTTTTCGAAGCCCCAATTGTGTAAGTGTCCAGGCCAAAATGGTGAGGTCGGGATGGCAAATTCGTGCACCGTCCTTCCAGGGGCATAACACATAGAATTCAGCCCAAATGGGCAGATTCGGCTTGACCCACAGCGCTCAGGGGCATTTTGGCATACCCCTCGACTTATGGGGTATTTTGCAAATTTTCCCCCGGATATCATCATTGAAAATAAATTTTAAAAAAATCATCGTCGAACTGACCGGCCCTAGGTAATTCCCAATTGTAATTCCCGGCATTTTGGCATACCCCTCCAGAGGTATTTTCGTCACGTTTTTGCTAGTGGAGGTCGAATTCAAATCTGTATTTCAACACTTCAGGGGTGTACCAACTCAGGGCATTCTAACACTGCGGCCCGAAAACCACAATTTATGCAGATTTGGGAAACATAAGTGGGATTTGTGATTTTAGGCAAGCCAGTGGTCACAGTGCTTTTGTGATGACTAAGAGGACAAGGTGGGCCCCTTGTGGAGAAATGGGGATTTGGTGATCGGCTAGTCACATAGCACAACCCCTAAACTGTGGAGATTTTCCTTTTGTGTAATTATTACCTTTTTGTTTGCCTTTTTTCTGCATATCTTCCACCGTCCACGGCCGAAGCTTGAAAGGACTTTTTTTTTTTTTTTTTTTTTTTTTTCAGAAGAAGAAGAAGAAGAAGAAGAAGAAAAAAAAAAAATCTTGCAAGGACTTGTGAACGACTTGTGGCAAATTTTCGAAGAAACGCAAAACCCCATGCCCTGCGGCTTCCCAGGTGGCTGACAAATGGGCACAAGAATAGTGCAATCGGAGATTTGGCAAGTATATGGGACCCTCCATCTTATGTTGGGAATATGGGCCGCCGTGTGAGTATGCCCTGGGACACGCGGGGGGTTGGTATTCCTGCCTGATTTGCCATCAATTTATCTATGTTTCTCTCTCTCTCTCTCTCTCTCTCTCTCTCTCTCTC